ACTGATCTACCATGACAGTTACACGAACTGGCAAAGTCACCAAAATTATTAAATCATATATGAACATCATGGACTTTATGCTATATAAAAGATACCTCGATAAACTTGTCTTTAAAAAAAAAGCTAAGCATTGTCTTTACCAGCCTTCAGTGCTGGTCACCAACATAATCAAACTTTAGTACACAGCATGGGCTCTCAGCCAGGCCTCTTGAAAAGCTACATTGCAGGAGTAAGGAAAAACTGACAAAGACATAAATACAGGCTGATTCCAATCCCCAGTTGGAAAAGACGATCTTTCCCTCTACTCACTGACAACCAAAATAGCATTAAATCTTATAAAAAGGCAGATTGTATTGAACAGAACTTCCACATCTTTCACACATAATGTCTAGCATTTCACCAAAACTTACTAGGCAGATCAAGGGCTAGGACCACATACTTATGTGGAAAAAAAGAAATGCAGTGGACCCTTGACTTACGAATTCAGTTCATTCCAGGGCTGGTTGTAACTCACGTTGGTCAGTGAAGGCTCAGACTCCTCTACACAGTCTTCAAAGTCTCTCTCCTGTGCACAGGCGGATCTCAGTGTCCTTAGAGAGACCCTGACCCAGGATTCCTCAGTTGACCCCACACAGGGAAGGACGTTAGACAGCTCCTTCCAGAACACTTTAAGGGTTAGATCTGTGTCTGAGACCATCTGGAATCACAAGAGACTGGCATTTGGGTTATAACTCAAGACTTTAGTGGTAAGTTAAAACTTAGCATTCTAGTCATAACGAAGTTGTTCATATGTCAGCCAGTAGTAACTCAAGGATCCACTGTGATAGAAATAGAAATTATAACTCCATAATTTTGCAACTGCAACTGCACAGCAGAGGCTGTGCCGTTCTGCCTCCTGGGACCCTGAGTGGTGAGTCCCTGCTCAGAGCACACACAGTGGGACAGAGGGAGGTGAAGGGAAATGGTCCCAAAGTCTTTGCAGCTCTCCCCATCCAGAGCTAGAGTCTATTTCTCCATCCCCTGAATCCTGGTTGGCCTTGTGATGTGCTTTGACCAACAAAATGTGGCAAACCAACATGGCATGTTTGGAAATCCCAGATGTCAAAACTCTCAGCAGCTTTAGTCCTCACTCTCCTGGAAGACTGATGCCAGCTCAATGTCCCAGTTAGCCTTCCAGAGAGGTCACATGAAGGACAGCCACAGTGCCTGGCAAGCAGCCTGCTCCACAACACCCATAAGTTCCACCTTCTTAGGTCACCCTGCCCCTCCAGCAGCTGATGGCTGCCACATAATGAGGCTGGGGCAGCTAGCAGAGGACTGGCCCACTGAGCCAGCCCGATATCCACACACTTGAAAAGAGCAGATGAAAGGGTGGTTGATTCAAGCCACGACACATGAGATGACTTGTTACAGAGAAACAGAAGTGCTTCGCAGGGCAAGAGAGCTGGTGATGGGGCTGTAGTGGCGGATGGCAGTGGCACGGTGATGGACCCGCATGACGGTGGAGGAGGAGGAGGTGATGTTGACGATGCATGCGTGGGAAGGTGGAGGTAACCTGGTGGCAGTGATGGTGGTGGGATGACAGTGGAGGTGATACCTCTGTGTCCTCTAAGTTATCGTAGAAAGACTTCATCTTGTTTGTCATGGTTTTTGCGTGTTGTGTTGTTTGAGATCTTTAAAAATACATAACATCTTTGAGTTGCATGTACCTGTGAGAGTCCACTCCAACCTGGCCCCTTCCCAGGAAAATGAACACAGGTTTTGCTCAGCCTTGGAGAGAGGCAACCTGCCCTCCGTGAGGAGCCTCGGTTGGGCTTCCTGACGCTCACATCCCAGAGGCAACACTAGAGAGCTGGTGTGCATGGCCTTCCTGAGCGGGCACAGAGCCGAGCTGCAGGACAGCCGAGTGGCCTCAGTTCAGCAGAGCACAGCTGGTGAAGAAGGGAGCTTCTGTTGGGCATAAATATTTTGAGATACTTGTAATCTGCCTGCATGTAGTTTAGATGCCCTCAGAGGTGGTGGAGGGAAATGAACATCACCACCAGGCCAAAGGTAGAAGGCCTGGAATTTTCTTCTCACCCTGTCTGCCTCTCCATGGGGTGGGTGGCCTCCCGGTGATGCCGGGTCCCCCAGCTCAGCCATGAGTGGGGCTCTCTGGGCATCACACTAGGGAGGGCTGCCATCACCAGGCTGGCTTTCCTTCCTGAGAAATGACCTCGACATTCAGGGAAGATGACTCCAAGGGCCTCTGCACAGCTGGGTTCTGCCCTGAGTCTGCCGAGCACTCGTGGTGCCTCCCACCCAGCCACACAGGAGGCCGCCTCCTACCCCATGTCCTTGCCCCACCTGGGCCCCACACACCTGAGCTGTGGTCCTGGATTCCACTGGAAATGTCAACAACTGTCCACACAAAGGCCTCCTGGCACTCCATGCTTGTGCAAAAAGACAAAAATACAAGTGCTTAACAACCCAAGAACCTGGTAAGGTGACTGGGACTAGCAGGGCAGTGTTAACTTAGACACAAAACCCGCAGCTCGACAGCAGCTCAGAACACCAGCGCGGGGACACAGTCTGAGTCATTGTGCAGTTACCTGTAAGGTGGGTTCTAACGGGACTGCTTTTTTCTGAGTTGTCCCTGAAGAAGAGCGAGTGCTCTGGAGCTGAGGAGTCATTCACCTGTCAACTCCTCAAGTGAGCAGAGGGGACTCTGTGTGGAGAAGCATCTTCCAACATGTCCTCGGCATCTCTAAGCACAGAGCCAAGAACAGCTCCTGACACCCAGAATGACCCACGGATGTCATGAGCATGATGGGCACAGAGGGCTCTCTGTGTGGACCCAGGCCTCCCTGGCCCAGCAGACCGGCCAGCGCATACCAACAGCCCAAGCACAGAAAGCACTTCCTCCCATAGCACACACATGTCACAAGCTCCCACCAGTCCTCCCGGCATCAAAGCATGTCCACTCTTCACCACTGCACCACCAAGAGAGGAAAGCCAGAGAAACAGCCACCTATGAGCTCGGCAGCCAACCTTGCAGGGCCCTTCATGGTGCCCAGAAGGGACCATAGCCACAGGGTAGCCTGCAGCGCTGTCCCCGGCGGAGGAACTGGGAGACCTGCTGCCTGGAATGTGGGTTCATCGCCTCTCCCAGACCTGAGCCATCTGCACCCTGGACCACCAGCCAGGCCCGAGGACAGAGTCCCCCCCAGGCAGGAAGCTAAAAGTGTGGGTCCCCCAGAGCCCCAGGAACATGCAGGATTTCACGAAGAGCAGGGTGCCTGGTGTCACTGCTGTGACCTGAGGTCAGTCACATGCCCCACAGCCCCAAGGAGCACAAGGACAGCACACATGGCAGAGAGCAGGGCACCTCTGGCCACGTGCTCAGAGCTGGCCACCCCTGCCTGAGCCGCAGTTCAGGTCAGCCCTGCTGGGGTGGATGCGTTTCGCTCTCAGAAGCAGGGGCACCATGCAGCAGTCTTTACCTTGAGGGGATCCCTGGACCCCTGAAAACCTCCCAGAGGCCCATCCTGGATGCCCACAGGGTTCATCCCCACCCACTGAGCAACAGGCTCATGCCCCTCCCCTACAGTGCCACCGCCGTGGGGACAAGCATCACACCCTACGGGGCTCAGTGGTCCCATGTCTCCGGACCGCACTGGCGGAGTAGTCGCCAGGCCCGGTGCTGTCCTCAGGCCTCCACGCATGCCCAGGCGGCCCTCTCACGCCAGCTCCTTTTCTAACCGGATGGCGCCGAGTGCTGTGGCCTGGCTGCCACTGGCCTCAGTAGTCTGCTGTACTCGTGACACCGCCTGTCTACGGGGCCCACGATCTCTGCAAGGCCAGGTCAGGGGCTGAACAGGCACAGTGGTCGCCACCCATTTCCTGCGATCCTTCCTGTGACGCTGTCCTCCCAGGACACAGCAGCTCTGCACTGCGGCCTGAGTCCCTGGTTGTCCAGCAGGGGAAGCTTGAAGCCCAGCGGGTGGTGCTGGAGGACAGCGATGGGACCTTGAGTCGAGGACCTGGTGGAAGGGATCGGGGAGGTCTCTCGGGACCCTGAGCTCGAACAGCCCAACTCTGCATCGCTCTGACCTCCTTCCTGGAGATGTGCTCGCATGAGTGCCAGCTTCGTGACACCTTCCCAGCAACCAGGGGCTCTCACCAGAGGCCAAAGCAATGGGGCCTCCCAGTCCTGGACTTTCGGCCTCCAAAATTGGAGCTAACCAACTCTTTTCCTCCTGAAGTAAGCCACCTCAGGTATTGTTACAGTAACAAAAAACTGACTGACGTCCTGGGGCCTAGAATGCAATGTGAGTTATTGCAACATGGAGGGCCCAGGAAACGACCAGCACCACAGCCAGGATTCCTTTCATCACCTACCCCATACATCCCTTCCCTAGCAGGAGGCCTCGATGGTCCTCGGCATCCCTCCGATCCTGTGTCCTCAAAACTCCTAACATCCAGTCACCAGACTGAGCAGCTGTCCCTGGTCTCCCTTATCCATTCCCTCTGTCCCCTGAGGCCCCTCAGGATCCGGCCCCAGGCTCCGGAGGCTCCCGGTGGAGGTGCCAGCTGGTCACCTGTGGCTCTGCCAGGTACACGCTGGGCCCAGGGCCCCCCGCCGCCTGTGAGGCTCCTGCCGGAAGGGGTCATGCGAGGGACTCCCAGCCCCACCCGGCCTCCCAGATGACCCCCATCTCCCTCGGAGCCCCGGGACTGTGCGGGGGGGGGGGGGCAGGCAACGCAAGGACCCCAAGGCGCACTTCTGTTCCGGCTGAGGAGCCAGGGGAAGGGGCACAGCTGAAGTCGGAGGGGCGAGGCGGGGGCCCCTGTGCGGACCGAGACGAGGACCTTGGGCTCGCAGGTCTGTTCTGACTCCCGTCCCGCTGCCCCAGCCTCCTCGGGCGTCCGCGAACCCGCAGCACCCCCCGGTGGCCGCCGCGGGACCCGCCCTGGAGGGAGGAAGGGGCGGCCCCTCCCGGCCCCTCCCAGCCCCTCCCGGTCCCCTCCCGCCGCCCGCCTCCTGCGCACTCGGCGCCCGCGTCCCGGGCCGGCAGCACCCGGAGCCCTGATCCAGGTGAGTGTTGCCGTCGGGCGGTGGCCGCGCGGTGCCGAGGCAGCCCGAGGGGCTGGGGCGCTGGGACCACTTCCGCTGCCGGGCCCCCTTCGGAGCGCCGTCCTGCCCGAGCCTGCCCGAGGCTGTCCCCTCTGCGCTGTCTCCGCTCGCTGCCCCTCTGCCCCTCGGCCTCTGGGCAAGGGATCCGGCGGGGACCCCGCTTCCCCGCTCTCCAGCTCCCCCCAGTCCCTAGTGCCTCTCCTCAGGCCGCCAAGCGCCGGAGTCCAAGGCCCGGGATCCTGGCCTTGGGGGCCCATGGAGGGTCGGGAGGGCACCCCAGGCTTGAACCCCAGCATGGGGCGGGGTACCTGGGGCACTCGGCAGCAGAGGAGGGCAGTCGAAGCCCTTCCCGCCAAGGACAGGCCCACCTGCCTCCCATCCCGGCCCTGGAGTGTGCCTGGGTGAGGGAGGGAGAGGGGCCCGGGGGAGCAGCACCCCACCCCACACCCGCCCTGGGCCTGCAGAAGGCAGCAGCAGAGCTCCAGGGCCCAGCGCCCGTGGATGGGACGGAGACATCTCCGCTGCCGCCGGCACCCACGCAGGGCGGCAGAGGGACCCGCATGTGCAGGGCCCATCTGGGCTCACTGGAAACACGGAGCCTGGGCCCAGGGAGGACCAGCACCCCAAAGCAGGGGCCTGAGAGCCACCGATTTCCTGTTGTTTTTCTCCCAAGCTAGTAGCTCTGCCTTGGCAGCCAAAAGAGGGGTTTGTGTGCTGCCTCAGTTCACTGGGCCCAGGAGGCAAAGCTGCTACCGCCCTCCCTCTGGGGTGGGGAGAGGCTAGGAGCCCCGGCCAGGCTGAAGGGGTCCCTGGACGCAGTCGGGGACACAGCTGCTCGGCCACTGCCCCTCTGCTGGTGACAGTGGCACGGGGCGTGGGAAGGGCAGCACGGGGCAGAGCCAGGCTCACGCCTCTGTGGTTCCCCAGAGCCCCAGGCAGCGCCTGTCTACACAGCTGGGGACACTGTGTCTGTTGGAGCGAATTCAGGTCTCGGGGCTACAGGGCCTCCAGGTGCAGCTCCCAGGGTCCAGGCTGCTGGGGTCCCCAGATCCGTTGGACAGGCCGTTCACAGCCACAAGCCTCAGGTGTCGAATCTGGGGAAGAAGGGCTCCTGTGATTATTCAGGGGAACTTCCCCGGGCCCTGCACTCTGAGGATCAGCCCTCCTCCATCCTCTCTCACAGCAGCCGTGGACCCTGGTATGTGCCACACCACACCCAGGCGTGGCCCTGAGTGCTGCTCTCTGTGGGCCTGGCGGCGTCCCTGCCACAGGCCGTGAGCACGGGCCGCGGGGAAGGGCGGGACACCAGCAGACCGGAAGCGGGGCGGGGCGGGCAAGGGGTCCCTGCACGCCAGAGCTTCAAGCCTGATTTCAGAACCCACCGGGAAGTAGAGCAGGGTCAGGCCTATCTGCAGTGCACGGCGCCGTGGCCTCTCCCAACTTGTCCACCTGGGCGCCAGCCGCTGCCTGGTGTGAGTCTGTTCTGCGTGTCTTTGGTTCCATGCACTGCAGCATTATCTGCCCGCTGACACGTGAGGTTTCTCCTTGACTTGCCTGACTGTGATTTCTGCCATGTTCCCAGCTGGTGTTCATCTTTTTACTGGTTAGCAAGAGCTTCACACAAACATACAACTTTTTTTATTGTGATAAAATATACATAACATAAAATGTACTGTCTTATTCATGTTTAAGTGCTTGATTCACGGTGTTAGGCACATTTTGTTGTTCTGCAACCATTACCACCATCTACATCCAGAGCTCTTCGTTTTGGGAAACTGAAACCCACTGAACAAGGACCCCCAGCCCCTGGCCGCCCCTGGCAGTCACCCTCGCACCCTGTCGCCGTGACTGTGGCTGCCTCAGTGACTGGTGTGAGAGAAACCATATCGTGCTTGTCACTTGGTGCCTGAGTCGTTCTGCTCAGCAGTGTCCCCAGGTCCACCCACGGCATAGCACCCGGCAGAGGCGGCTTCCCTTTCACAACTGAATGATGTTCCACTGGAGTCTATGCCCACTTCCCATTTTGCTGACCCACTTAGCTGCCGCTGGACACGTGGGCTGCTCCCATGTCTTAGCTGTTGAGAATAGCACCGCTGTGGACATAGGCAGCATACAAATGCCTCTTCGAGACCCTGCTTCAGTTTGTTTGAATCTATACCGGAAGTGGAACAGCTGAGTCATGAGTTCTACTTACAATTTTTTGAGGAGCCACAATACCATTTACCACAGCGGGTGCAGCATTTTGCATCCCCACCAGGAGTGCATCAGGATTCCCCTCACTCCATGGCCTCATCAGCACTTGTTCTATTTTTGTTCTTTATAGAACCCATACTATGGGTGTGAGGTGTTTCTCATGGTGATTCTGATTTGCATTTCCCTAATGGTTAGTATGCTGACCATCTTTTCATCTGCTTATTGGCCATTCATACATCTCTTTCAGAGCAATATCTATGTAAGTTTTTCTCTCTTTTTTTTGGTACTGGGGATCGAACTCAGGACCTTGCACTTGCGAGGCAAGCGCCAGAACCACTGAGCTAAATCCCCAGCCCTTGCTCATTTTTTAATAAGTTTGATTTTGTTGTTGTTGTTGTTGAGTTTTGGAAGTTCTTTATATAGTCTAGATATTAATCCTTATCAGATATGATTTATAGATATTTTCTCCCATCCTCTGGAATCCCCTTTCATTCTGTTGGTAGTCTCTTTCAATGCACAAAAACTTCAAATTTTCATGAAATCCAATTTATCAATTTTTTTTTAAATTTTGTTGCCTATGCCTCTGGTGTCAGATCCAACAAATCCTTGCCAAATCCAATGTCATGAGTTTAAAATCCCATGCTTTCTTCTAAGAGTCTTGCAGTTTTAGATTTTCTCGTGTTTAGGTCACATTTTGAATTTATTTTGTGTGTAGTGTGAGATAAGGACCTAAGGTCATCATTTGTATGTGAATGTATAGTTTTCTTAGGACCATTTGTTGAAAAAACTGCCTTTCCCCCAGTGAATGATCTTGGAACTCTAGTTGAAATCTTCAGCCACGTGTGTGAGGGCTAATTGCAGACTCTGTCCTGCAGAGAGCCAGATGCCATGTCTGTATGCAGTACCATACTGTATTGATTACTGTAGCTTTGCAGTAAGTTTGAAATCAGAAAATATGAATAATCCTTTGGCTTTGTCAAGATTGTTTTTGGTATCTAGGGTTCCCTGAGATTCCAGGGGCATTTAGAATGGTTCTTTATTTCTGAAAATAAATAACTGGGATTGTAATAAGAATTGTACTAAATCTTTAGATCAATTATGGTAGTATTGCCATCTTACAAGTATTATGTTACAGTATTATGTCTCCTAATCCATGAATGTAAAATTTCTGTTCTTTTATTAATGTCTTCTTCAATTTCTTTCACAAATGTTTTGTAGTTTCCATTGCATAAGTCTTCCACCTCATAGGTTAATCTCTAAATATGTATTCTTCTGGTAGACTAGTAAGTAAGATATTTTCTAAATTTCCTTTTTGGATTGCCCATTGCTATTATATAGAAATATAACTGGTTTATATGAATTGACTTTGTATCCTGCCACTTTGCTGAATTTGTTTATTTGTTATAACTATTTGTGGAATCATTAAGGTTTTCTACATATGAGAGCACATCATCACCCAGGTGTGGTGATGCACACCTGTAATCCCAGCACTCTGGGAGGCTGAGGCAGAAGGATCGCTAGTTAGAGCCCAGCCCGGGCAACCTAGTAAGACCCTGTTTCAAATTAGATAGATAGATAGATAGAGATAGATGATAGATACAGAGCTAAGGACATAGTTCAGTCAAAGATCCTGGATTCAATCCTGAGTATCACAGAAAAGTGTATGTGTGTGTGTGTGCGTGTGTCTGTGATCAACAAACAGAAATGGCTTTACTTCTTCATTTCCAGCTTCCATGACTTCTGTTGCTTTCTCTGGCTTGATTACGTTGGCGAGGACCCCAGGACAGCACTGAAGGACGTACTGATGGTGTGTGTCCTTGCTTTCTTCCTGAGCTGGGAGGGGAAGCTTTTGTCGTGCACCTTGGGGATGCAGCTCACTGTCGGTTGTGTGTCTTTGTGTATGAATTTTACTGTGTTGAGGTAGTTTCCTTCTACATTTAGTTTAAGTGTTTTCTTTAAGTCTTGGAACAATGTTGACTTTTCCAAGTGCTTTTTCTGCATCAAGTGAAATGGTCATGTGGGTTTTAACCCTTCATTCTGTTAATGAGGTGAACAACATTGATTGATTTTCATACATTAAACCATTCTTGCATTCCAGGAATAAATCCCAATTGATCATGGTTTAGAACTCTTTTTATCCTGCTTAATGTGATTTGGTAGCATTTTGTTGAGGAATCTTTTTTTCTCTGGTACCAGGGATCAAACTCAGGGCCTTGCACTTGTGAGGCAGGCGCAGCACCACTGAGCTAAATCCCTGGCCCCCATATTGAGGATTTTCAAATTCATGTTCATAAGGGTTTTGGTCTGTAGTTTTTCTCTCTTATAGTGTCTGTCTGGCTTTGGTGTCGGGCAATACTGGCCTCACAGAATGAGATAGGCAGTGTCCCCTCCTCTTCCAGTTTTGTGGAAAGTTTGAGAGGGGCTGGTGTTACTTTTTCTTTAGAGGTTTGGTAGAATTTACCAGGGAGGGTCTCAGGTCGTGATTTTCTTTATCAAGTGATTTCTTTTTTTACTTTATAGCCACAAACTGTTTATTTTAGAAATTAAAAAATGGGATGGGGGAGGGCCACAGGGGACAGTTTACTGTAAAATATGAAGCAGCAAGAGTTCCGGAAGTGAGTTTCTCCTTTATATTCCTAGCCAGAGCATGAAATGACTGGATTTCCTCATCAATGGCAAGCTTAAAAAAAAAAAAAAAAAACAGCCACCATGGAGACAGTGTCACATTAAAATCTCTTTCTCTTGATAATTTCTGGTTTCCAGATGAA